TTTTTTTCTCGGTTTTCTCTCTCTCTTCTCTCTCTCTCTCTCTCTCTCTCGGCTTGTTGCCGCACCCTGCACACTCTGCACTTCTCTTTTCTTTCTTTTTTTTTTCTTTTAATTGAATCCTAATCCTATTCAAACTTAATAACTATTATAATATATTATATTATATAATACAACATAATTATAATATATATAAATATAAATATAAGATTAAATATATAGATATTTGAATTAATTATTTATAATTAACTAACATATTAAATTAACTAAATAACACATTAAATTCTCATATAACCACATAATTAATAAATTCAAAAATAAAATAAAATAATCATACTCATAATAATAATAAATAATGACTTACGAAAAATTAAGATCGCTACAACCCTGCTTTCTGATGTAAAAATGTATTTTCATAAATTGAAATGTATTGATAAAGGCATTGCATTGTTTTGAAATAGAAAAGTACAATGCTTGATAACTGACATGCATGTGCATTCATCTTATAACTTTGCTAAGCTCTATACATTGTCTTAAAATATCTCTACTGAACCTTGGCTCACCCTATGTGGAAAATAACTTTCAAGTGCTAAAGATATGCCTCCACAAGGATTTAACTTGGGAGGACCGTAGAGCTAAAGGCTCATTTTGGTTTCTTGTTGTAATTATTTTTGCACAAATCTTGAACTTTAACTATATTGAGTAGAACACACTTTTGTTGTATTAGGGTATTAACTTATTTGTATAACATTTTATTTCAAATCACTCATATGTGACATATGTTATAGATTCAAGATTTAAGATTTATGAATGTATACCACATGTCATCTTTTGTACGATAAACTTATATAAATGAAAGGTTATTATTCAGTATATTACGTTTTCTATTGAATATTATGAGATGGGTTGCCATTATTATTATTATTATTATTATTATTATTATTATTATTATTATTATTATTATTTTGGCGTTGCACACGCCACCTCTTGAAATTTCTAATTTCATAACAAATTGTTCATTTTATTAATAAATCATAAAGTCAATTAATAATTTTTAATGATTCTAGAAATTTATTTTAATTAATAATTCAGGTAATTTTATTATTGTATATGAGAGTATTTAAGTATTTTATTTTTTCAATTAATTCTGTTAAATAAAAAAATTTAACAATGAGATATTTGTAATTTTTCAAATCACAAGGGACAAACTGTATTTTAAATAAATCTCAAGTGTTGTATTTACAATTTACTCTTAACTTTGAGACATTCTTAAATATATACTCCCTTCATCCCAAAATATTAGTCCCTTTTCAAAAATCAAGTACAAAAATAATATGAATTTCCTATTTTGTCTTTCTTTTAAATTCATTAATAACATAAAAAGTATAATTATGATATTGATATTCTCCAAAAAAATGTATTATTAAAGGGTAATTTTGAAAAATCAATTTTCTTAAAGTGTAATAATTGTACTATCAAAAAAAGTTAAAATTTTCAAAATGAACCATTATTTTAGGAGGGAGAGAGTATTCAATATGCATATGAAATAATTTTTAAAAAATCAATTCCATTGTTTCTTAGATTTATTTATTTATTTATTGGAAACTAATAAATTCATTGCAACCTATCTAAAAGAATCAGGGATGACAATTCGCGTAGAGTATCTTCCAACCACACAGGTACACCAGAAGCCAACTTAGCAATTCGAGCTAAAGCGTGAGCCACCTTGTTACCCTCCCGCAGAGTATGAGAGATAAAAGGAGTGTTTTGAGAAGTGAGTTACTTCTTAATTTTTAACTCATTTTTTTCTTTTACAAAAATATTTAAAAAGGTTAAAAAATTATTTTTAAACATTTTCTCAAAACATTCTAAAATTGACGGAACGCCATACTACTATCGCAAGTCTTTTTAAAAATATGCCCAAAGGAGAGAACAAAAACCCCATTCTGAATTGCATTCAGGACAATTGGGCATCTTCTGACCTAATAATGCTAGCCATCATAAAAGAAATATCATGAAAATTTTGCATAAAAATTCTCTATTATTAGATTAATTTGTAGTATTTTATTACAACAATATTAGGTATCATGAAAAATCTTTCATGAAAATAATCATAAAAACTTTGTGATTCTTGGATTACACTTAGAATAAAACACAACACTAATCAAGGTAATCTGAGGATCATAAATCTTTCATGATCATTTTCATCTTATAATGACATTTTTGAAAAAACAAAATATGCCAATATATTTTCTAAATTTTTAAAATGCAGTAAATGATTAAAAATAAATGAATTAAACTCAATATACACTACAGGAAAAAGCATATTCGGCGACTAAATTTCCTGACCAAAAAAATTTGGTTAGTTGCCAAAAGTAAAGCTTTTTGGCGACTAAACAATTTTAGTAGCCAAAATTCTACAATTGGCGACTAAAACTAAATTTGGTCGCTGATTATATGGGTTTTAGTGACTAAAAAATTTTTAGTAGCCCAAAGTACAGTTTTTTGGCGACTAAAAAAATTCAGTAGCCAAAAGTCTACAATTGGCGACTTAAAATTAGTTTGGTCGCTGATTATATGGGTTTTACCGACTAAAAAAATTTTAGTAACCAAAAGTAAATTTTTTGGTGCCAAAAAAAATTTTAGTAGCTAAAGGTCTACTATTGGCTACTAAAAAATAAGTTTAGTCGCCAAAAGTGGTCATTTTTAGCGCGGGAGAACTAAAATCCTAAGGCGGGAATAAAATTGGCGACTAAAACTAAGTTTGGTCGCTGATTATATGGGTTTTATCGACTAAAAAAATTTTAGTAGCCAAAGGTCTACTATTGGCTACTAAAAAATAAGTTTAGTCACCAAAAGTGGTCATTTTTAGCGCGGGAGAACTAAAATCCTAAGGCGGGAATAAAATTTTTTGGTGACCAAAATTTTGGTAGCTGAAAGTGCATCTGTGGCAACCAAATCCAATTTTGGTCGACAAAACTTAAGTTTTTTAGCAACTAAAAAATAATTAATAGCCAAAAGTATAGAATTGGCGACTAAAAAATATTTTTAGTCGCCAAAAGTGGTCTTTTTTTATTTTGGTAGTAAATAGTTTATTTTACATAAATTATGTTCAATAAAATAATTATGTTTATACATATACTTTTATATTAATATGGATGTATGTACTATATAAATAATATATGTTGCATATATAATCATGTGGTGGTATAGAGGTGTAGTGGGAAGAGTGTGGTGTATAAGGTTTATGGTGCGGAAGGTTGGCGGTTCGAGTCTCCGCAAGAGCGGATCAAATTGTTGTACAACGAATTATCGTCATGAATAGCACTTGATAGCGTCACTAATAGTGCCTACCATGACATTAAAGTGTCACTGAAAGGTTTTAGTCTTGTTGGTGTAATGACACTTACAAGTGTCACTAACTCTTTATTTAATGGCGCTTGATAGTGCCACAAATAATATCTACCATGACATTAAAACGTCATTGAAAGTTTTCAGCCATGATGGTGCAGTGGCACTTGCAAGTATCTACCGTGGCACTCGTATCTACCGTGGCACCGATAGAAGTGGCACTTGTTCAAAATGCCACAAGACCAAAAAATGTCATTAGAAGAATAATTTTGTGGCACTTTCAAATGTCACTAAACTAAGAAAATGTTGTAGTATACACCAGAAGCCAACTTAGCAATTCGAGCTAAAGCGTGAGCCACCTTGTTACCCTCCCGCAGAGTATGAGAGATAAAATGAGTGTTTTGAGAAGTGAGTTAAAAGTTACTTTTTAATTTTTAATTCATTTTTCTTTCTTATAAAAATATTTAAAAAGGTTAAAAAATTACTTTTAAACATTTTCTCAAAATATTCTAAAATTGACCGAACGCCATACTACTATCGCAAGTCTTTTTAAAAATATGCCCAAAGGAGAGAACAAAAACCCCATTCTGAATTGCATTAAGGACAATTGGGCATCTTCTGACCTAATAATGCTAGCCATCATAAAAGAAATATCATGAAAATTTTGCATAAAAATTCTCTATTATTAGATTAATTTGTAGTATTTTATTACAACAATATTAGGTATCATGAAAAATCTTTCATGAAAATAATCATAAAAACTTTGTAATATTTGAATTATACTTAGAATAAAGCACCACACACTAATCAAGATAATTCAAACATCATAAATCTTTTATGATCATTTTCATAAAAAAAATTTCGTGATCCCTAACTTTTCTCATTTTATTATATATTATGCAATTACCGTTGAATTATTTTCATAAAACTTCTGGTGATATTTATTGTAGAGAGAATTTATGTATTAAAATAGAATTTCATTGAATACATAAAAATAAAAAAATATTTCAGATAGTATTACAGATAGAATTTCATTGAAAAAAAAAATTAAAAAAAGTTAGGTTATAGTGAAATTTTACTCTAAACGATGTAGAAGAGGGGACCCACACTACTGTTCTGATTGCATGTCCTTATTGCACGACAAACATATTTTTGTAAGACTTTATGATATAGTGAAATTGTTGGGTTTTACTTTTATAATTAGAAAATCATGTTAACAGGTTTTTAGCCAAAGTTGCTGTTTATATCTGAAGTGCCAAAAATTTATAAGTCCATAAATGAAAATAAGATGATTAGTTGAGTGGATATTCAATCCAAACTTAGAAATCAAATTTGTTATAAATTTTATAAATATTAAGAATTAGGAATGTTTTGAAAAGTTGATTAAAAGTTAATTTTTTTTTATTTTTTTGATTATTTTGTCTTTTTATGAATAAAATTTTTTTAGAGTTGATATGACTCAAAATTGATTAAAAGTTAAAAGATGACTTTTAACGAACCCTTAAATATAACAAACCCTTAAAATTTTAAACTTTTTCATATATATATATATATGTATATATAAATATTTTTTCAAAAGACCATTGAATTGCAATTTCCACTAGAATTAACCAACATTGATATCACTAGCAAATCTTGATAACAGATAGTAATGAACCATGAAAAGAGCTTGAGACTAATAGACTATTAGTACAATAATCAAATACAGTTAAGAACATAGGTGTTTGGTTCAAAAATTTTAGTAAGAAACCAAACACAACCTCAAAAAAAAAATAATAATAAAAAAAAAAGCCAAAAGAATACAGAGAGAGGGAGAGAGAGACTTTTGTTTCGTTTTCAACAGCAGTTAGAGAACAGAGCCTCCCAAATCTCATTGAACACTTGAATTATAACCCTATGATGATGATACGAGTTCAGACACAGAAAAGTCTGCAACAGATTCTCCAGATCTCTGCCTCCAAAAATCTGCTTCTCCACTATCATCTCCACCATTGAAGTCCTGAAATCACTGTACGGATCGCTCGAGCGCTTCACCACCGCAAAGCTATCCTTCACTTTCCCCTTCAATGGCACCACATTCAGACCCATTCCTGTCTCGGTCTCCTTCCCGGCTCTTCGTCGCCGGTATCGGGCTTTGTTCCGGCGAAAAGAGCCAGACGAACCGGAGGATAGAGACTTTGAAGAAAACAAAGTCGTCT